TAATTCTTATTATAAGATATTTTTAACTACATTACTAGAACTAAGAAAAAGTGATTAAGTCATTAATTTTGTTTTAAAATATAATAAAATTTTAATTTTATCTCTATTTAAATGAAATTTTTTTAAATTTTTATTATATTTTCTCTCATAGTTAATAAATTTAAATAGAAGTAATATTGAAAAACATAATAAATAGGACAAAAAAAACTCTACAATGCATCTTATAATAAGGATAGGAGGTAATACTAAATAAAATAATAGGTTGATGTTCAATTTGGACCTTAGATTATAACTTCAAGGACGATTTGAATCCTAAACTCACATTTGGTATATTCTAAACTCTAAACAATTAAATTTGAGGTAATTTTATCCCCACGGTTAAACTAAAACAAAAGTTCATTATTTTTTTCCTTGAAAAAAGAGGGCTTGATGTATAATTTTTCTCAAATTCTACTCTACCTCTCTCTTATCTTTCTATAAGGAAAATTGCACATTAGACCCCTTTGTTTTTAAAAAATAACATATGCTTATTTTAATTTAATGGTGGAGGCAAAAATATCTCAAGTTTAATTGTTCAGGATTTAAAATATACCAAATATAAATTTAGGATTCAAATTACCCTTAAACTTATAATTTAAGGTCTAAATTGCATTGCATATTAACCTATAAAATAATGGATATTGTTAATTCATTGAAAAATTCTATTATTGATTAATAAATGCATATGTATGCACGTATGTATTAGGTTTTTTTAATTTGGCCCCCCACCCTTCAACTTCGGGTTGTACCCTTGTCTATCACACTATACATATGGATGGATATTTGAAGAAAGTTGAGAATAAATATTAATTGAAAAATTCATTTCTCTTGTTTGTTTTTAAATGAAACAAAAGAATACTTTTTAAAGGAAATAAATAAAATCAGAAGACTCATATTATATGATGAGTTGATTATCCATTGGCCAAATTTTCTCAATATAACGGAGAGAAGAAGACAAGCTAATATATATAATGCGTTCAGGGATGGACTTAAGGGGAAGCCTGCACCCCCAAATATTTATCTCCTTATAATTATTTGAGGCCATACTTTAAAAATTAGTTATAAAAATTTTGTATCTAAATCTTGCCCCTTATGGGTATAAGAAGAAGAAAATTTTGCACCACCATAAAATAACCCTGGATTTATCACTGATTGCATTATCATTATATTATTTAGATATTTTCAAATAGCAATATGAACTAAAATTTTATAAAATACATTCATAAAATATTATAAAATATCTACCAGATGCAGTTACAAACCTAAATGAAACTTATAAATCTTACTTCAATTATTACAAAAGAAAATAAGATATGGGTGAAGCATGAGAGATCAACAGGTTCTAAATATAATTATATTTAAAAAAGAGAAGTATATAATTAAAATGATGATATTGAGGATGGAAACACTCTAAAAGAGAGTCAAAACTTAACTTATTTTAAAATCCTTAGAAGAGATTGAGTGCCAAAAAGTAATAAAAAGATGTTAAAAAGTTATGTCACAATTAAAAAAATAGAATACAAAATATAAAGTTGACAATAATTTTAATAATAATATCATGTGATTAAATGATTGTGAATAAAATAAATTACATTGATGATTGGTTAAAAGAAAAGAAAAAATAACGCAATTTGAATAAAATTATATTAACTTTAAATATATGAAAATCATTAATCTTTACTCCAAACGCTAGACATGTAAAATTAATATAAAATTATGAATTATGAATATTTGTTATAAAATTCACAATCTCATATTCAAATAATTTTGACAAATTTTTAAATGACTATTATATATTTACAAATATTTTTGGAGAGTTTCATCAACGAATTTTAGCATCATGTTAGGAAATGACTCATTCCCATTTGTAGTTCCTGATTTTCCTAAAATTAATCAACTCATAATAATAATTTTTGTAGAGCTTTTTCTTAATTTTAAACTCATATATTTTTAATCTCAAATAAAAGTCATGGTCTATTTTTAAAATTTTAATAATTTAAAATATTTAATTATAATTAATAATTTTATAAAACCCTTAATTGTCATTTTTCCATAATAATTTTCAGTTTCCCTTGGAGCGAGGCTGGTAGGGAGGAAGGGAGAGAGATTGTAAGAATGGGAGGAGAGAGTTGGGTTGTGAGAGTATCACAAATCACAGGAAAGAAAGAACAGAGGGCTGTACTAAATGGAGGCTGCGGAAATGAAATACTTCTTTCATCTCTTTTATAAATTATTTTTATTAATTTTATGAATATAAATAAAAAATAAAAAGAATAAAAATATGAAAAATTTAAAAAAATTAATCTTTTAATTTTTTGACTTTTAATTCACTTGTAATTCAATCTTTTAATTATGACTTATTACAACTCAATCTCTCAACTTTTGACTCATCTATAACTCAATTTTTCAATTTTCATTGGTTTTCTTTTTTTATTTTAGCTCAGATTCTACATCAAAGAAAAATATTTTAAAGGAAGGTATAAGCATTTCTTTTATTTGATAAAGATAATTTTAAAAAAATTTAAAAAATAAGGATCAAATTATAAATAAATAAAAATTTAAGAGATTAAGTCAGAATGGATCATAATTGAAAAATTAAATTATAAATAAATTTAAAGTTAAAAAATTTAAAAATTAATTTTTTTCAAAATTTTGATTATATCTCTATATTAAACTTCAAAACATAATTTTAAAAATATATTTTAAATATCTGTTCAAAAGCTGTTCCACTACTCATAAATAAATAAATTTTTTTAAAAAAGAGTCATAAGAAAGTAATGTTTTAAAAATTAAATTTAATAATAAATTGAAAATATTAATAAATTATAGGTCTATTTAATTGATTAGATTGATAGTTGTTGAATCAATAATATAATAATTAAATAAAAAATAATATATATATATATATATATATATTTTAAAAAGATCGATACGGTTTAATCACTCTAAATTTTAAATTTTTGTTTCGCGTCTTTAAAAATGATTCAGGTCAAAACAGGTGAATCCGAATCAATTGCTAAAACGAGCAATCAGATTATTTTATTTCTCTAAGTGAGGATTTGACTGGTCCGACTATTCGAGTGAATTCGGATCTTAAAACAACATTGTGAGAAGATGATTATGGAAATCGGAATGCCTATGGGTGAGCCTGAGGCTATGAGCGATATAGGCATGGGCCACGTTTTCCCAAGGCACTGACCACTGAAGATACATTGGTACTGATATTCATGCTTTTCTTATTTCCTTCCCAATGCTCTTCTGATTCTGAGCCCACCCTAGGCGTCACACCTCCCCGCCCCATTTTCCATCCACGTCATCCTACCTATTTCGTTGCATCACTCTGCTTTTAGATACGCTCCTCCTCTTTTATTTTATCAATAAGTTATCTTTAATAAAAAATATAATTTTAAATGGCTACATTCTATTCAAATTTTTGTTATATGTAATTGTATTTTTTTTATTTTAAGACTTTCTATTTTTGTTTTTAATATTTTAAATAAAAATTTAAAACATTAAAAAATTATGAATGAATTTAAAATATTAAAAAAATTCAAGGATCTATTATAAAATTTAAATACCTGACCAAAAGTTATATTTTTTTATTAATGTTATCAACATTAATATAATAAAAAATAAAAGAAATAAAAATAAGTGAAATTTCAAACATAATATTTGAGTGAAAAAATAAAAAAAAAATATATAATAGTATTATTTTTTTATATCTCTATTTATTTTACTTTTTAAAGGTAGTTTAAAAATTTTAATTAAAAATAAAATAATTTTATCAATTAATAATTCATAAAATATTAGATTATATTATTAAAAAATGTCTAATATACAGAATTGGAGGGAGCACAATGTAAAATGTAAATGAAAATATAACACCTGTACAAAAAAATTTCTAAATCATAATATCATTTGAGAAAAAATTACACATGCTAATAAACTTTAATAATAGACTTATTTTTAAAAAATATAACATAATTTTTTAAAAAATATTTTTTATTTGATATAATTTTAAATATGTAATTATTTTAATTTTCTTTCTATTTAAAAAGTAATATTAGAAGACTATTTTTAATAATACTTTATTTTTATTAAATTATCTTATATATTTAATAGGAAATATTCACAATTTCACATGTAAATTTGGGCTGTTATAGTGATAAATTAAATAGTACTACTTTGCTTTATTTTATAAGATGTTTTTGGGTGATTTGATATTTCATCGTATAGAATATTTTTTAAAAAAACAATTCGTAATTTATTAATAAAACCCATTTCAAGATTACCCATCATTATTCTCTCTCTTTTATAGAATAAAGATTATTTTTAAAAAAAAGTATAAGAAAATTAAGATTCAAAATTGTATTTAATTGATTTCATCAATATTTTTAATTTTATAAAAAATATATTATAAAATGGGGCAGAGAGTATAAATTTATATTATTTTAACAATAAATACATATAGTCTGACTACTAAATTTGCTTCATGTAAATGATAAATTCAAGATCCTTGAATAAATAATTTTTAAATTCGGTCCATTGAAATAATATTGAGAGAATGACATTAAAATTCCAAAACTTAGAATTTGTTACAGTTAAGTTTCCAAATTTTTTTAAAATAAATCACAAATATTATTTTAAATAATTAAAAACAGAAATTCTAATTACAAACTAAAAATTATATTTAAAATTTAAATATCTTATTTATAGCTCAAACTTAGAGCTCCATAATTTATAATTATTTAAATTAATATTTATAAATATTTTTTTAATTTTTTTTATTAAAAACTTAATTATCATTAATTATAAGTTTTGAGATTTTAATATCGTTCTCCCAATAATTTTCCCAAAGAAAACTTCCCTTCTCGCTCATCACATACATTGTGTGGGTCTATATATAGTTATATACACAGACAAAGAAAAGTCATGGTTCACATTCACAAGTCGCACAAGTACTGAGTCTCCTGCAGTGTTCTGGTGTGTGTGTACTGAAGACTTCACAGGCAGATTTCTGGGGTAGGGGCCACCACCACAGAGAAGTGAAGAAGAAGAAGAACATTTGATTTGAACTCAAAGAGAAGCTTCAGTGCTGTAAAAGGTCGTTTCTTCATTTTTTTTTTTTTTCATTTTCTCTCTTGAAGTTGAACCAAAAGGATGATCCTTATCAGTGCCTTTGGTTTCAGATTGTTACTCCATTATATGGTTTTTCATTATTTTATCAGTGCCTTTGGTTCTCTTTTTTCAGGTAAATGGAAATGAATCAGACCTTTTAGGGATGATTTTGCCAAAAGAATTTAACCTAAACGCTTTTAGGTTTTTCCTTTCTAGCATTTCAACCAAAAAAAAAGAAAAAGAACTCGTCCCCAAGTTTGCAAGAACTTTTAATTTTTTATTTTATGATATTTTTGTGGAAAGCGTTGTAAATAAGTAGACTCAAACAAATTTGAGTCTTGTCCATGTCTCTTTGCTTTAAGACTGGAAAAAGGATTAAAGTCTGTGGCTTAATTATGATCATAGTAAACGTTTTTATTTTTGGTGGTGGTGGTGGTGATGAATATTGTGTTTTTTTTTTAATTATCATGTAAATTCATAATATCTGCCATATTTTTATTTATAGATAAAATATATTTTTAAAAAGGTTTTGTCTTTCACTTGTAGTATTATCATACACTTCTTTATTTTCTTACTAATTCATAAAGTGACAAGTTATGTAATGAAATGAGAATATAAACTATATGGGTTTGATCTTTTGATCTTGTTCATGTCTTGAATCTGTTTTTGTTATGTGCAGGTGAAACAAAAAGTCAAAAACTATGGAAGGTGATGACTCACAACTAGAAATTACGGGTAGTGATTTATTTTCAGGACTATCAATTCTATTCATGTTTTCATATGTGATGATGAACATGTTTAATGTCATGGGAAATTTGAATTGGTACAGAAATTAAGGCATCAGAGTTGGAGGCATTACAGAAAGAGCATGAAGAGAAAGTTCAGAAAATACAAGAGCTTAAGAAGCAGATTGAATCCACAAGACAGTGTTTGGAGAAGATAAAGAAAGAGGTTCCAGATGAGAAAATGGAAACTTTCAATACCTTAAGCGACAAATATAACAGTCTCAGAGAAGAATACAATGCAATGCTAGCTGAGAAGTCCGGGGAATCATCAGAGTAAATATTGCAGTCAAGTCAAAAGTTTACTGTTATGTGTTATTTCCCCTACTAAATTGTATGAGATTTTTTTTTTTTAAATCATATTAGGTTAGTGGATATGTAGTTCAGAACTTTCATAGATACAAATACACTGGACTACTTTCTGGGTTTGCAATTTTGTGCATCCTGAGATTTTCATTATGTTGCCTTCCTGGTTAATGAGATCATACCACAGCCCTGCATTCTGTTTGGTCAAGATCTTTGAAGTAAATTTATGAGCAATTTGACATGCAAATGATGCAATGCTTTATAATATTCTAGAGCTATAATTCATTATTTTTTTTTTTTTGCAGCCGTTAAAATAGTTGTACATGATATATTTCAAAAGATAAGTGTAAAAAAGAGAGTAGCGGGCAGATCCGTTATACAATTATATCTTTTTTGAAAAAAAATTACTCAAATTTTTGCAAAACCTTATATTTTTAGTTAACAATATTGGTTGTATGAGTCTCACATTGGAGTGCCATGATAAACTCTCCCACCCACAAGCTAGGTTTTTGGGAATATTTTTTTTTTTTAAACTTGTGCTCGTAATATTAAAATTTTTATTGAGAGATTGATATCATGAAAAGTACTATCCACATTTGATTTGCAAAAGATTAAATGAAAATATCATAGATTGGAGTTATTAATCAACTCTTGAATAAAAGACATTGTCATGAGTCTTATATTATTGACATATCTAAGTATTGTTTATAAATATGAGTGAGTTTTTTATTCAATATACTAATTTTTTGATACGGGTATTAGTATTTTTTTTTTTTCTTGAGAAGCTAGTGTTTTAGAAAGAGAGAGTTGTCTATGGGGAGTACCTATAAAAGTTTTAACTAACAAGAGGTTGAGTGAAATGTCACGACGTAAGACTGTTTAACATCTTGGCTATCAAACATGATGATATTATTGTAAGTCTTATCTCGAGGAGCCTCACAAGTAAAATTGAGTTTATAAATGTAAACAGTTCTCCTACTCATTAATTTGGCATTGAGTGAATTCTCCGTTTTAGACTTGTAACAATTCGCCAAGAATAAAATTTGTTGTCTTGGTTCGTAAAGCCTTGTGAGCAACCAAGGACCAGAATTGTCTCATTCTATCAAATTTCAGCTCTATGTACGCTATCATGATTTCCATAACTTTGAAACAGTTGCTTACTGCAGAGTTCTCGCGCATCTAATATCAACTGCATTCTATCGAGACTCCATATATTTTTATTCTCCCCACAAAATCTTCCATCAATGTGAATTTTTTGCAAAATTGTTCCATATCTGAGCTGGCAACAAAACGATCCGTATATCAATATATAATGCGAAATCTATAAGAAATTGTATTATTCTTATGTCATAGAGTGTGGCTCAAACTCAACGTCCCATAAAGCTTAGGCCCATAATTAAATTATATGTTCATGCTCAAAGTAACTGAACAAACCCAGAATTCAAAGGGAGAAAATTTCTAATTTTTTTTTTTGTTCCTTCAGTGTACAAAAGCCTCCCTCCATGTCCTTCACTGGAACATATCGAATAAATAAACACATTAACAGATCTGTTTCATAAAATAACCCCTTTTTGTTTGCTTATGTATTCAAACCATAAGAGAACTAAATTTTGCTTGCATGTCTTCCGAATAATGAATGGCGACCTTCTGCTATTAATTCTCCAGTTGCTTTGTTTCTGAGGTGAACTATTGTTCCAGCATACCCTCCTTTCCGTCCTAAGAGCCTAGAAGTAATCTCTAGTTCATCCTGCAACAGTTAATGATGCACGGATACAATTCACTACATTAAAACATGCCATACCATATCTCGCACCCTCAATATGAAGATTCTCATATCAATGAAAATAATGGTTGGTGCATGGAGCAAATGGAATTACAAGAATTGAGAGCTCGAAACTTCAGAACTCAGTTTGTGTAAAGAACCAAAGATTTAAGATGAAGTAAAACAATCACAGCAATAATTGACAGTGATGCAAATCCCACATTTCAAAGAGTGAATAGCATAACCGCTACTTTCTAGTGTTTAACTGCAGTCGCACATCCACTCTGAATAAGTGAGTACCCCTAAATGGGATGCCATACGTGCTTTGTTTGCATAGCGTTTCTGGAGAAACTAAAGTTTAAAATTTTTCCCCCTTGTGACCCCTCTTACCTTCTCAACGCCCTCACCTCGGAGGGTGACCTACTCACTGTCCTCACCTTGGAGGGCAAGTTGGTTACGAAGGAACTCTTAAGAAAAGCCAAACGGGAGGGTGGTGAGTGCCCTCTAAGGTGAGGGCAGTGAGTAGGTCGCCCTCTGAGGTGAGTGTGTTGAGACGGTAAGGGGGTCATAGGGGGAGGAATGGAATGAGGCCTTGACCACTGAATAGGTAGAAACAATTGAATGAAGTGCCTTCTCCTTGAACACATGAATGAAGCTCCAATATCAATGTTGAATTTTGCCCTTTTTGGGAGGGGAAACCTCACAAATGAGAAACACAAATGATTCAGCCGTCTCTACCTATTCAGTGGTCAAGGCCTTATTCCATTCCTTCCTCTATAAATGCAATGTAAAGCAAGCTAACAGTATCTAAATCATGTTACAGCTGTCAGGTAGATTGCTTAAACAATTTTTTTTTTTTTTTTTGTAAGCATAAGGAATAGGCTCTGCTAGAGATCATCTCCCCTAAGGTACTAAGAGCAATGGGCAAACCTCTTCCAACTAAAATTTCTACATGCATAAGGTTTAATTACTTGAACAATTTTAAAACAATGTGGATTTTCTAAATTTATAAAATTATACTGCTGTCACAACCCCCCCCCCCCCGGGTAATTGCTCTACTTCTCCCTCCCTCTCCCTCTTTTTCCCTTGCAGCACCGCTACTTTCTAATATATCTCCCGCTCTCGTAATGCAAAACGTAAAGGATCCAGTTCGAAAAGTTAAGGACTAGCATATCAAGGGTGTTCTTTGTAGGAGTGAAGCTAGGGTGAAAATCATCATGCATCTAGAACTTTTGCATGATTTGATACATTTAAACTTCCCACTCTTCCTCCTCCTGCTTCTTACTCTCCATGTTTTTTTTAGTTTCACTAGCACAACATAACTATAACAGAAAGAGAGTGAAAACTGACATCAAATCGAAAGGCACACGTATCAAAAGGAAGTTTCTAGCAAATTACTTACATTAACATGGGCAGTTGAAAGAAAAGAAATGGACATGTCAACTGAAACATTCGCGGGGAAACCTTCCGAATGAGCTACGGCACCTCCAAGTTCATCTACAAGGTTGACTATTGCACCCGTAGCCAACTTGCCAGTTCTGTCCTGTAGGAGCAAACCCAACATGCTTCACATTCTCAGAAATATTCATAAACATGGTCAGGGAACCAAAGTGCCAAAAGAAATAAACTTTTATCCTACTCACAGCCAAAATCCATTTAGGAGATTATTCTGAATGATTTCTCCTACCAAGGATCAATAATGACAAATAAAATTGCAGATAGCAACACGAGTTATTGTATCTCCACCAGCAATTATTCACAAAAGAGAAAAAATTCAACCATAAACACAGTCTTAATGAGAACCAAAACCAACTCACTCAAGTTCAACTATCAAATGAAAGATAATTTTCCACACAGCAAATCAGCAGAAATTATGAATGCGGAAAATGCATAATCAAACAATAGATTAGTTCAAAAACGAAATCAATAAAGGAACAATTGAAGGATTAGGCTAGTTACGGTGAAGCGAGGAGGGAGTTTGAAAGTACAAACGACGAGACCGGGTTCGACTCGATCCACTTGGATGCCTCTGAGGATAAAGTGCTCATAGAAACAGAAATCTGAGTGAGGTGTGAGAGGAGGAAGGTGTTGCGACAGATATTGCGATTCTTCCGAGGTCACTTGCAGCAATTCCTTTGCCTTCTCCATCTTCGGCTCCGTCAATGGCTGCTGCGTTCCGGGTGAAAGCGTTGGCGATGATAATGGATGATTATAAGCCCAAAAATAAAGGGCAAATTACACCAAGTGACACAAAAGAACATTTATTACTAGAACATACCATAACATTCATAAAATACTTTCAAATCTCACATATTTTATTTACAACTTGACAAAAAATATTTATAATTGAACAACGAGCACTTATAACTTATTAAAAAAAATAACAACTTATAATAGCAAGTTATAAATATTCATTACTCAATTATAAATGATCTTTGTCAAGTTAAAATTGTACATAATTTGTAATTTGAGAGTATTTTATAAATTTTATAAGTTTTTTATAATAAATTTTTTCTATGGCCTAAGTGTAATTTTAGTCAAAAAAATAGTAAAAAAACTTGATAAGGAAATGCAATTTTTGGGTAACCTTGTCGTATACATATTAATTTGATTTAAACATTTGAAATTACTGTAAAATAAATTTTGGATATATGAGAATTTAAATTTAGACTTAAATTTAAATTGAACCTCTCATTTGAAATTCCGAAAACATAAAAATCTTTTAATTTGTATTTGATCATCTATATTTTATTATAATTTATTAATTAAAATATACTTATTCTGTTTAAAAATATAAAGCATTTTTTAAGAAATTTTTTTAACCAAAAACAGTCAATTTTATTGATTATCAAAAAAATTACACTCACTAATCAAGAAAGCAATAAAAGCAACCTATACAAACAAACTAGCAAAAAGTAAAAGAAAGCAAATAAACCTACGATACAACCTAAACCAAAAGAAAATAAAAACATAAGACCAAAAAAGAACAAGCCAAATAAAGATTTCAACCAATGCCTTCCTTATCAAACTCATTCTGGCACCCACCAGCAAATGTCCTTTCATACAAAGAGTCAAAAGCTAACATCTCACTCAAAAAGGATGGTATAGAGCCCAGCCAAGAATACTGGTACATCCCCTTTCTTGTAGATACTGCTAAAAGATCAGTAGCTTTATTCCCTTTCCTAGAAACCAAGGAAAAGGTCATCCCAAGCATAGACTCTTTAAGCTTCAAGATCTCTTGTAGCACATCACGGGTTTGCCATTCACATCCCACAGCTAAATTCTTCTACAACAAATTAAACAAAACATCGCAGTCAGTCTCCATAACCACACGAGCCTCGGGAAACTTATCTCTATGTAACAAAGCTTCCCTTAAAGCAAGACACTCTGTCATCAAAGGAGTGACAGCATCCACTTGCAAACCCAGACCACCCAAAAAAATTACCATCACAGTCTCTACAAACCAAGCCAATCCCTACCTCCCCAGTCCCTTCAACAAAGGAGCTGTCGATATTAAATTTAACTGCACCCCTCTCAGGAACAGACCATCGAGCAACTCTAACAGGAATTGAGCTAAACACTTTCCTGCTACCCTTTTCCTCCTTAATTCTAGATTTCCAAAACTCCTTAGCTTGTGAGAAATCAAGGCTGACCACCAACTTTGCATCTACCTGCTTCCCTCTAAAAACCCCATTACATCTCTTCTTTCAGATCCACCAACACATTTTAGCCAAAATTGATTTACAAAATTCATCAATCACATTACCAGCAAGCATCTCAGCAAGCTAATCCTCCACTCTTGTAACAAACCATTTATTAAATCAAAACCCCAGTACACTTCCAAACCAGCATTGTTTAGCCCAAGGACACAGAAATAAGAGATGCTCAATTGTCTCCCTCCCACTTCCACACACAAGACAACCAGGATCTTTAGCACAAGATCTTTGAAACAAAGCATCCTTTGTAGCCATTGCACCAGCACCCAACCTCCATAGAAAATGCTAGATTTTTGGAGGCACAGAAACCTTCTAAATACACTTTCAAAGCTATTTAGGCAAATGATAAGAGGACCCAGGATCTTTTGGTTTGGTAACCTCCTTTAACCTTTTAGCCGCCCTGTAACCTGATTTTACACCATAGCAACCATCTCTATTTACCAACCAGACCACACTATCTCTGCATGATTGGGCTGGAATAAGAATTTTCAATATTGCCTCCTTTTCCAACTGAGACATTCTATGTTCAATAAAGTCCAACTTCCATCTACCATTACAGATAAGTTTTGCAACTCTCAACTTCTCCTCCTCATTTCTAGCACCTGCACTAAGCTTCAACCCTTCAAACTGAGATAAACAGCAATCATCCAAAATTTGAATATCCTTCCCATCCTCCACCTTCCAACACAACTTCTCCAACAATAAATCCCTACCCTTTAGTAGACTTGACATCCCCAAGAAGCCTTGCTTCCTTTCTTAGCTATAAGAAAATCTCCTTTAGGAAAATAAATGCCTTTAAGAATTTTGCACCAAAAGTGATCTGGATTTTACAGCAATCTCCAAGTAGATTTAGCAAGCAAAGCTTTGTTAAAATAGAGCAAATCATGAAAAACCCAACCCCCCTTCATCCTTAGACTTAGTTAAAGCAAACCAACTCCTCCAATGCATAACACCCTCCTCTCCCTTCTGACCCTACCAAAACCAGATACAAGTTGGTCAATTTTCATATAAGAATTCTTAGGAAACAAAAAATAAGTCATTGGGTAAGTGGGAATCAAATTTTCCACTACCTTAATTAATATTTCTCTTCCAGCAAAAATAAGCAACTTTTGCTTCCAACCTTGTAACTTCAACCCAATCTTATCCCTTACAAAAGTCAAAGCAGTAGATTTAGATAACCCCCAAAGAACAGGCAAACCTAAATATTTACTTAGTTAACTTGAGTCTTTGATCCCTAAACAGTCAGAAACCCTTTTCTTTACTTTGAAAGGAGTATTTGCTGAGAAAAACAAGCAAGACTTTTCAAAATTCACCATCTGCCCAAATGCTTCACAATAAACATCCAAAATGTGCCTCAGCACCATACATTTCACCATATCAGCATTCAAAAACATAATAGCATCATCAGCAAAAAAAACAACGTGACAGTACAGGAGCCCTTCTTGTAAGCTTAATGCCCTTCAGATCCTTATTTTCAACATGAAATTTAATCATAAAGGATAAAACTTCAATAGCTATAACAAAAAGATAAGGTGATACATTATCACCTTGTCTCACCCCACATTTAGGCACAAATGAATTTATATTTCTACCTACAATTTGCATATTAAATGCTACAGAAGTTACATAATCCATGACCCACCTTACCCGCACACTACAAAAGCCCATCTTCACCATTACAGCTTCAATGAAATCCCACTCTAAACGATCATATGCTTTATTCATATCAATTCTCAAAGCAAATTCCCATTTAGAACTAGATTTTTTGTTTTTCAGGTAGTGAAAAGCTTCATGTGTTACTACCACATTATCTTGAATCATTTTGCCAGCAATAAAAGCTCTCTGATTGTGAGAAATAATTCTATCCATGAGCAACCTCAGCCTATTAGTCATAATTTTGGCAATGATCTTATATGACACATTGCACAAACCAAACAACAACAACAACAACAACAAGTCTTTATCCCACTAGATGGGGTCGGCTATATGGATTGCAAGACGCCATTGTGCTCTATCATTTATCAAGCTTTTAGGAATATTATTAATTAAGAGATCGCGTTTAACAACTTCCAAGAGTGTTCTCTTAGGCCTTCCTCTACCTCTCTTAATCGGACTTAAAATTATATGTTCCACTCTTCTTACTGGTGCCTCCTTTGGTCTTCTTTGTACATGCCCAAACCATCTCAACCGATTTTCTACCATTTTTTCCTCAATAGGCGCCACCCTCACTTTTTCGCGTATGTGCTCATTTCGAATTTTATCTTTACGTGTATGTCCGCACATCCATCGTAACATTCTCATCTCTACTACTCCAACTTTATGCTCTTGCTGTCCCGTTAGAGCCCAACATTCACTACCGTATAACATTGCCGGTCTGATAGCAGTGCGATAAAACTTTCCTTTAAGTTTGTTAGGCACCTTACGGTCACAAATAACTCCTTTAGCTTTTCTCCAATTAAACCACCCAGCTTGAATTCTATGTGAAATATCTCCACTGATTTCGCCATCATTTTGAATAATGGCTCCCAAATATTTAAACTTTTTCACTTGAGGTATAATTTGATCTCCCAATTTTACTTTCAAATTATTTTCGAATAGTCCTCTACCAAATTTACAATATAAATATTCCGTCTTACTTCTACTCAGACGAAAACCTTTCGACTCCAATGTCCTCCTCCATAACTCAAGTTTGCAATTAACCTCTTCTCTTGTCTCTGCTATAAGAACTATATCATCCACGAAGAGTATACATTTCAGGATTTCCTCTTGAATATGTTCTGTCAAAACATTTAAAATCAAGTTGAACAAATAAGGACTCAGAGATGATCATTGATGTAGTCCAATTTTTATAGGAAAATCCTTTGTTTGACCACTAGGCGTTCTTATACTAGTTTTTACCCCCTCATACATATCTTGTATGGCTTTAATATAAGCAATCCGTACTCCCTTTTTTTCCAACGCTTTCCAAAGCACTTCTCTTGGTATACAGTCATAAGCTTTTTCCAAATCAATAAAAACCATGTGTAGATCTTTATCTTTACAACGATACTTTTCCATTAATCCCCTTAGTAGATAAATCGCCTCTGAAGTTGATCTACCTGGCATAAAACCAAATTGATTCTCAGAAATACTTGTCTCCAATCTCAACCTGTGCTCAATTACTTTCTCCCACAATTTCATTGTGTGGCTCATGAGTTTAATCCCTCTATAGTTAGTACAATTCTGAATATCTCCTTTATTTTTATAAATAGGAATTAATATACTTCTCCTCCACTCATCAGGCATTTTCTTGGACCGTAAAATCACATTAAATAACTTAGTTAACCATCTCACCCCTTCTTCACCTAAACATTTCCACGCTTCGATAGATATACAATCAGGTCCGTTGGCTCTACCATTTGCCATTTTCTTAAGAGCTTCCTTTACCTCCTTATCACGTATTATTTGATAGAATGACAAATTTTGTTCTCCTTCACCAG